TTCCTTCTAGTGGTACACGGAGAAATGAAATATGTCAAGTACATGATAAACACATTTCAAAATTTATTAAAAATGATGTATATAATATGCCATATATGACATATAGCCTATATTTCTGAGGTAATCTGCCACTTTTTTTAACTGTGCAGAGTTGTAGCTGCTTTACTGCGCCTACTACGCTACTGTATTTCGATACTGCTCATTTTGGTGGTACTTGGAGAGACAATTCTTTTCTGAGGTGGTACTTGATGAAAAAAGTTAGAGAACCACTGAGATAAAGTGCATGACCAGTAATGCTATTTTTCCATTGATTTTAATTGGCTACAGTACAAACCACTGTTGTCCAATACATGCAATTCAATCATTCAAATTTTCATTTATTCATTCATTCATTCAATTGTTTGTTCATTTGTTTATGTAGTTCAATCATTCACTCATCAATCAATCAATCAACTATCAATCATTCATGCAATTCTGGGCGGGACCGAGAGCTGCGCGACCCTGATGGAGTGATTGTTTACAAGTGTGGAGTCCCGTGAAGGAGCTCCGGATGGAAAGTTTTGTTTTGTGTTTGCCTCATAGTTAAAGTTGTTGCACGTCCGCCGGTTCCTGCCTCAAAATCAGCGAGTTTGAGTCACTTGTACATTCAGGAAGCGTTCAGAAAAAACAAAACAGCAGAGAAGAAGCTCGACACAGAGGAACATTAACACCTCACTGCCAACTAGCGTTTCGGAAGTGTTAATGCAGACCAACAGAGACAGCGCGCAGAATTATTAATGCACAGCTACGCGAGTTGCATGCGCGGTGGGTTACACCGATCACTTGATGCAGAAGTATAAACCAGGCTTAAGACCTAGTTGAACGCTATAGCGGTTTATGAGGACTGATGTCCTTGTAATTCAAAACATTTCAAAATCATACCTAATGGGGTCTTTTAAATTTTACCACAGGCGCTGGAGGGGTGCTGTGTAGGACTATATAATACTACATGTTTTAAAACTACATTACACCTATAGAGAGTCCCTGTAAACCACAAAAACCAACATGTGTGCATGTGTGTGTGTTGTCAGAATGTCCAGCGGGGAGGTTCGGCTCAGACTGTCAGGACAGATGTGAATGTGTGAATGGAGCTCAGTGTGATGGTCAGACGGGTCGCTGTGTTTGTCCGCCGGGCTGGACAGGAGAGCGCTGTGAGAATGGTGAGCTCATCTACACACAAAACACACTCTGGAAAACACACTCTGAGTAAAGACAGCCCTTCAGCCTCAACTTAATAGTACAATAGAACAGTGTTTGACAGCAAAGTTTGATTTAGTTTTAGTCTTAGTCTTTTAACTAAAATTCCCTTTTAATTTCAGTCATGTTTTAGTTTTCTGAATCATTTTAGTTGTAGTCGACTAAATTTCAAAAGATTTTAGTCGACTAAATCTACTCTAGGCAGTGGCGCAGTGGGTAGCACATTCGCCTCACAGCAAGAAGGTCGCTGGGTCGCTGGTTCGATCCTCGGCTCAGTTGGTGTTTCTGTGTGGAGTTTGCATGTTCTCCCTCGTTGCATGGGTTTCCTCCAGGTGCTCCGGTTTCCCCCACAGTCCAAAGACATGTGGTACAGGTGAATTGGGTAGGTTAAATTGTCCGTAGTGTATGAGTGAATGAATCCAGTGGGTTGCGGCTGGAAGGGCATCCGCTGCGTAAAAACTTGCTGGATAAGTTGGCGGTTCATTACGCTGTGGCGACCCCGGATTAATAAAGGGACTGAGCCAATAAAAAAATGAATAAATGAAATCTACTCTAGCTGTAGTTGACTAAAATATATTTGATTTAATTTAAGTGTAATTTATTTAAATATTGCATACATTTAATTATATAAAATCATCACATAATCACTTTATCATCACTTCATTTTTATTTAGTTTTCCTCGGTAGAAACTTGTTCATCACAATACTTATGACGAAAATTTTTCATCAGCAAAATTAACACTGCAATAGAAGGAACTGTAGTCAACACTGGACAGAAAGTCACACACAGATGCTGCAGCTCTAGTGGTTAGATTTAAATGTATTTTTATTTTAATGAGGGTATCAGGCTGCATTTACACTGCAGATCTTGATGGTCAATTCCGATTTTGTGACTGTATACCATTTTTTTCATGACCTGCTTACATCATCTTTTAAAAGTGACTCGTATTCGATCAGCCGCATTTACACTGCACACAGCAAAGGTGCAATAACCAGGAAAGCTAACAGCTGATAATTAAATAGTGTTCTTTTCTCTATTCCTGTATGTAATCCGTTTGCAGCTTTTGACAAGCTGTTTTACTATCGTTTATGACAGAAAGGTTTTCATTTGTCCATCTTCTTTTGATATTTAGGCTTTTTTAAACCTTTAGGCATCTTAATGTAATGTCCATGGCGTGATTTATCCATGTGATGTAGCTGTGCACTAATTTAGTTTATATTGTTTACGTGGCGGACATTGCGCTCTCGCTTTTGTTAACGTGCTTAAATACCTGTGCTATATGACAATATGAAAGCTGTTTAAATCCTGGTGTATGAGATTTAAGGTTTGGGACTCTCCTGAAGTCTGTTCTGAAATGAAAGTGTCAGACTTGACGTCGTTCGCTATGGTTTTTAATGACGCACGGCTCGCATTGACAGGTGAAAATCCCATCTACCTGCTTACACTGCAGACACGAGAACACAGATCTGATTCACATCAGATAAATATTCACATACGAACAAGGCCTGAATCTGATTTGAGTTAATCGGAATCCATGTGATTTGTTCCTTACACGTACATGGGCCATATCCGATCTGTGCCACATGAGAGAAAACAATTATAATTGAATCACTTGAACAGCGCAGTGTAAATGAGGCCTAAGAGTATAAACTTGAACCGGTTTAAAGGGACAGTTCACCCAAATCTGAAAACTCTTTTTACTCTTTCCCTTGTTTAAAACCTGTTTGAGTTTCTTTCTTCTGTTAAAGACAAGTTTGTTTACATGTTTACAAGTTCTTTTTGCACTATACTGTTTTTTATCTGCACAACTCTGGTTTACTTTGCACTCATTGCTATATGCCCTTAATGTCACTGTATTGTTTACAATTTTTATTACATATGTATATTTTTTAGACCACATTTATGTGCAATGTATATACTGTAAATTTTCTTTTTTTCTTAAACTCTACTATTTTTTTTATATATATTTTATATTAATGTTAAGCACCTTGGGTCTGAGAGTAACGCAATTTCGATTCTCTGTATGTCTTGTACATGTGGCTGAATTGACAATAAAGCTGACTTTGACTTTGACAAAAGAAGTTATTTTGATGATGGCTGGAAACATGTAATCATTTCCATAGTATTTCTTTATCCTTTTATGGAAGTCAATGTTTACCGGTTTCCATTTAAATATCTTCTTTTTTGTTGAAAAGAAGAAAGAAACTCATAAAGGCTTATAACCACTTGTGGACGAGTAAACAGTGTGTACATTTTCATTGTTGGGTGAACTATCCCTTTAAAGCAGGGGTGTCCAAACTCTGTCCTGGAGGGCCGGTGCCCTGCAGATTTTGGCTCCAGCTTGCCTCAACACACCTGCAGGGATGTTTCTGGCAAGCCTAGTAAGAGCTTGATTAGGTATCCCAGGTGTGTCTGATTGGGGCTGGAACTAAACGTTGCAGGACACCGGCCCTCCAGGACCGAGTTTGAACAGCCCTGCTTTAAAGTGTTCACTACATTCAGACCGAGATAATGATTGAATTTGTAGCGATTGCAAAACTCAGAAATAGCTTAATTTTTTACTGTAATATGTAGGGATGTAACGGTATTGTAAATACCGTCATACCGCAATATTAATTTTTTTCGATATTACCGTAGTCGCATGACTCGGTAAAATTATAGGTCTTCTGAGAAAATTTGCTCAGGCGAATGAAGCGAACGGGAGGTACCGGAAACTACAATTCCCATCAGCCCAGGCTTGGCCATAATCCCTTGCGGTCTGTTGTCGCTACAGATCCAGTAATGCGGAAATGGAGTGTGCTGCTAGAAGCGGGGATGAAAAAGAGCTGGGTGTTGTCGCCGCGCGCGTACTGAATAGTGGTGTTGTCGCGCGAGTTCTTATCAGCTGTGTTGTCGCGCGCGTACTGAATAGTGGTGTTGTCGCGCGAGTTCTTATCAGCTGTGTTGTCGCGCGCGTACTGAATAGTGGTGTTGTCGCGCGAGTTCTTATCAGCTGTGTTGTCGCGCGCGTACTGAATAGTGGTGTTGTCGCGCGAGTTCTTATCAGCTGTGTTGTCGCGCGCGCGTACTGAATAGTGGTGTTGTCGCGCGAGTTCTTATCAGCTGTGTTGTCGCGCGCGTACTGAATAGTGGTGTTGTCGCGCGAGTTCTTATCAGCTGTGTTGTCGCGCGCGTACTGAATAGTGGTGTTGTCGCGCAAGTTCTTATCAGCTGTGTTGTCGCGCGCGTACTGAATAGTGGTGTTGTCGCGCGAGTTCTTATCAGCTGTGTTGTCGCGGGCGTACTGAATAGTGGTTTTGTCGCGCGAGTTCTTATCAGCTGTGTTGTCGCGTGCGTACTGAATAGTGGTGTTGTCGCGCGAGTTCTTATCAGCTGTGTTGTCGCGCGCGTACTGAATAGTGGTGTTGTCGCGCGAGTTCTTATCAGCTGTGTTGTCGCGGGCGTACTGAATAGTGGTGTTGTCGCGCGAGTTCTTATCAGCTGTGTTGTCGCGTGCGTACTGAATAGTGGTGTTGTCGCGCGAGTTCTTATCAGCTGTGTTGTCGCGCGCGTACTGAATAGTGGTGTTGTCGCGCGAGTTCTTATCAGCTGTGTTGTCGCGGGCGTACTGAATAGCGGTGTTGTCGCGCGAGTTCTTATCAGCTGTGTTGTCGCGCGCGTACTGAATAGTGGTGTTGTCGCGCGAGTTCTTATCAGCTGTGTTGTCGCGCGCGTACTGAATAGTGGTGTTGTCGCGCGAGTTCTTATCAGCTGTGTTGTCGCGGGCGTACTGAATAGCGGTGTTGTCGCGCGAGTTCTTATCAGCTGTGTTGTCGCGCGTGTACTGAATAGTGGTGTTGTCGCGCGAGTTCTTATCAGCTGTGTTGTCGCGCGCGTACTGAATAGTGGTGTTGTCGCGCGAGTTCTTATCAGCTGTGTTGTCGCGGGCGTACTGAATAGCGGTGTTGTCGCGCGAGTTCTTATCAGCTGTGTTGTCGCGCGTGTACTGTAAAGCGGGGACGGAGGGTATGTCGCGTCGCGGGGGCACTTTTGATCATTTTGGAAGGGAACTTTCTATCCAAGACTAAAAAGGGCATGTGCACTGCACAGGTTGAGCCCTGTGTGTGCACGTGCCTGCAAGTTGGGGAATAGGACTAATAATCAGTCATGGGGACTGCAGAAACACAGCACACTGTTCAGATTGATGCAGACATGAGACCTCTATCTCACTCATGGTTTGTCCTCTCAAGTGGGGGAAAGACAATGCACAGCGTTACCCACTGCTGTCAACCTGGGCCAAGTCATATCTCTCTTGTCCCAGAAACCTCAGTCCCAAATGAGAGGGTTTTTGTCTGTTGCAGGGGACATTGTAAATGCCCAGAGATACCAGCTTTTACCAGATTATAGTTATAAGATAATTTTCCTTTAAACCCATCTCTATCTAAGTGAGTGAGTGATTAAATGTTGAATGTGATGAGTTTTCAACAATACTAAATTGAAACTTTATTTTTTTACATGGTTTAATATTTTTTTGTTATTAAAATTGAAGTTCCTGTTTCAAAGCTTACAGATAGATGGCTAATTTGTATGTCATTGACACTTTTGGCACTTTTTTTGGATTATTTTCATAAGTTTTGTTTTTTCCTGTAAATGATTCAATAAATACCGTACCATGACATTCATACCGAGGTATTACCGTACCGTGAAATTCTGATACCGTTACATCCCTAGTAATATGCCAATAGGTGTGTGTGTGTGTGTGTGTGTGTGTGTGTGTGTGTGTGTGTGTATGTATGTGTGTGTAAGGAAGAATGAGGGAATAATGATCATAATCAACCCATAGGATCAGCAGTAGTCATTAGTGATCGTGTGTGTGTGTGTGTTCAGAGTGTGAACGGGGCTGGTTTGGCGTGGGTTGTGAGGACCGCTGTCAGTGTGATCACGGTGCTGTCTGCCATCACGTGAGCGGTCAGTGTCTCTGCCCTGCTGGATGGAGAGGAAGACGCTGTGAGAAAGGTCAGCTCATTAAAAAAAATCAAATATATATAATAAATGACTTTATAAATATTATTACTAGAATATATTTCACCCATAATGAATAGTTAAATGTCATTAAATAATACATAATTTAAATTTCTTTAAATATTTATTTATTAATTATACATGTATTATGTTTGAAATGACATTAATTATATACGAGCAATTATTAAATATTTAATATATGTGAAACTGTACCTTTATTTGAAGTGTGTGTAACATATGTTGTGTCTCTGCATGTTGTGTGTGTGTGCATGTGTCGTGTGTCTCTGTGTGTGTCTGTCTGGGTGTGTAATGTGTGTGTGTGTGTGTTTCTCTCTCTCTGTTGTCTCTTTCTTTCTCTCTGTCTCTCTCTCTTTCTCTGTGTGTGTGTGTGTGTGTGTGTTGTAGCATGTCTGCCGGGCTCATTTGGTCAGGATTGTGTCCAGCGCTGCTCTTGTCCGTCCGGCTCCTCGTGTCATCATGTGACCGGTCACTGTGGTTGTGCTCCAGGATTCACCGGCGACGGCTGTGAACACAGTATGTGTCCATCCAAAGATCACAATTAGATTAACGCACAAAACTGGAATACCATAGAAAACATTTGCGAATAAAGCCGTGTTTCCATCCAAACAAAGAGATTAAAATCATCACTTCCTGATAAACGGCCACCAAATATTTAAAGAAAAATGATTTATGAGATATTTTTTTCCAATCCTAAAATTATTAATGACAATAAATTATTAATCTTTATATAGTTTTATGATTTATATAAGTTGATGCTTATTTTTAATGTGTTTATATCACGTGTGCAGAGTTACTGAAGTTTGTCCTGCGCGCTTGCGGTTTTTTTAGTTACTTCTTTGGTTTGGTGCGTTAATCTGATCGTTACTATTATTCAAAAGAAGGTAATGATTCGCACTCAATTGCTTCGTACTGTTTTTATTTGTACTTTTTCTTACATTTTACGGGTGATAACAGACAAACAGACGTTTCGGCACAAAGCCTTCCTCAGTGTGTGACACATTCTCCAACTCCACCCTTTTATTCCATAGTCAATCACAATGTGCAATTAGTTAAACCGTCACTCTCATTTCATTATCCATTAATCACACAATAACTTATAATCTTCACAGCAATGACAATAAACATTCTTCCCATTTCCGACCTCACTCCACAGAGATAAAGTGCATCAACCACCATCACTAATCAGGTGTACATCAATACAATAAAATTCTAACAGTTGACATTAAAAAAGTTTTCTACATTTAACAATTACCCAAAGATTAAAAATAACAAGTCTTACCTTCATCTCTACTCTTACAACCAATTATACAGGAGACATTTAGCTGCATATTCAAAAACGATTTGCAAGACATACGAAAAAAACTTACATTCAAAAACCATTACTACATAGGAAAACATCTTATCAATTATCATTCTTTTTTTTTTTAACAATTTACACTACAATATATCATGATTAATTACTCAAAAAATACCTTTTCCTTCCAAAACATAATCTCGCAAGAAAACAGCACATCAAACATCAAGTTTCAGACCTCTCCTTTTCGTTACAATATCAAGATCAATTACTTGCAAAATACATTTACTTTCAGTAACATTACATAACAAAACAGCACATCAAATATCATCAAGTTTATCAATATTTTCTTTTTCATTACTGTACATCAACCTCTCGAAAAAATACTTTTATCCAAAAAAAACAAACAAAAAAAACAGACAGCAAATCAATTATCACAGTGTTAACCAATAGTTTCGGTTTCACTTCAATAAATCATGATTAACCACATGAAAAATACCCTTACCTCCTAAAATATTATTTCACAAGAAACATATCAATTAACATTATTCTCCCATTATTATCTTTAAATAATAATTCCGAAGTTCACAAACATTTAAAGAAAAAATAATAATAAAAAATCATTGTTTATTTTTGTCAACAACTTTAACGTTCAAGATTTACAATTCCTAATATATCGATTAAATAGCATATTTGTTAAATGTAAGAAAGTGTAAAAATAAAAACAGTATGAAGCAATTGAGTGCGAATCATTACCTTCTTTTGAATAATGTGTTTATATCAAAATCCTTTGCGCGCTTTAAGGTTTTGCATACAGTTAAATGGAGCAATTAGCGGCTGTAAGAGCAGTACAGATGAAGGAAAGATTTGTAAAGAATCCCGCTCCCGCAAGCAGTTCATGCCAATCTGATTTGGCGAGCGTTAAGGTGAAAACCAGAAAATATGACAAATCTTACATTGCGTTTGGTTTTACCTGCATGTTAAAGCAGGGAGTGGGAGTCGAAAGACCCCATTGTGTTCTTTGTCAAGAGATTCTCTCCAACGAACGCATGAAACCATCCAAGCTCAAGCGCCATCTAAAGCAGAAACATCCCAATGAGGCAGAAAAACAGATTGACTGTTAGTGATGGGAAGTTCGGATCATTTTATTGACTCGGATCTTTGAGTCTCGTTCATCAAGATGAACGAATCTTTTTTCGAAAAATATTATTAAAATGTTACGAATTGTTTCCAAACACATCTATAACTAGCCCAAAAGGTTGATCACACGACAAATCATAAATAGAATACTATAAGAAGGAAAGAATAAGTATTTAATGTTTACCTGCTCTTTTGTCTGAAGGTTTTGTTGTCTCTTTGCTCAGCTCACCTCTTCATGTCTTCAAATGTCAGTGGTTCGTTCACGTTACACTGACAGACACATATAATCTCAACCAAAGTACACAGACTGAGCCGATAGGAGCCATGATAATTAGTTCACCTTTCAAGTCTTCTGGTTCTTGAGTCGTTCGTTCATCACGTGACAGAATGATTCAAACCCGAGGACTCGAGAGATTAACGGATCAATTCTTTTTCCGGCTCTAAACGCATATGATTGGCCCGTAAAGAACGAATGACTCAAACCCGATAGAGGATTTGAGAGATGAACGGATCAATTATTTTTCCGGCTCTAAACGCATGTGATTGGCTCGTAAGGAATGAATGACTCAAACCCGATGGAGGACTCGAGAGATGAACGTATTAATTCTTTTTCCGGCTCTAAACCAAGTGATTGGCTTCTGCCTTTCCGCGATGAACGACTCAAAAGGCTTGAAATGAACGATACCACCTGCACAAATGTGCACACGCGCGGATGAACAAATCACTCCCTGAGAGGACTCGTAGTTCCCGAGTCATATTGAAGATTCGTTCAAAATGAACGAATCGTTCATGAACGACCCATCACTATTAACTATTTTAAACATTAGGAATTTTGTTTGGCCCGGCAGGCTAGTATTTTTCGGCAGCAAGCATTAATCTCTGAGAGGTGTTTAAAAGCGTCATATTTGGCATCACTGCACATCGCACGTGCTAAGAAGCCGCACACAGTTGGCAAAGCATTGTTATTATCAGCTACCAAAGACATCGTCAAAGAGTTATTTGGAGAATAAGCGGCACGAAAGGTAGATTGTGTGCCTTTGTCAGACAACACAGTAAGCAGACGCATAAGTTCAATGTAAATATTTAGCAGTTTTCCATAAATACAAGACAGGGAATTAAAAAAAAACTACAGAAACTAGAAATGTCCAGGTTCAACTTTTCATCTACCAGCGCCTTATTTAGGTCATGTCCACACTAGTGCGTTTTCATTTGAAAACGCATATTTTTGTATCCGTTTTGCCCTTCCGTCCACACTGAGACGCGTTTTTAGGAAACAAAAACGTATCTTTTTGAAAACGATCTCCAAAGTGGATAAATTTGAAAACGCAGTTTTCATGTCGTAGTGTAGACTGTGAAAACGGAGTCTTTCGAAAACGATGACGCGTTTTTTTGTCATGTGACACAGTCATGTTACTAATTCGTTTACTTTAATTTCGTTGTGATTATAAGTTTAGAGATGTCGTCCTTACTGTGAGGGTAAGCAGCGTCATCAGCAGGATGCTGTTCTTTAAAGCGGTCCAGTATATCAGTGTATTTGTTTTGGCACGTCTCCCAGTCTACATTTTCACTCTCTTTTGCAACTTTGTATTCATGTGTTACTCGATGCAGCAACTCCACTTCATTGTCAGTCCATTTAAAAAACTGTGCTTTTCCTTGACATTTTGCCGCAACGTTTCAAAGAGCCAGAAAGAAAATAAACGTCAGACGGAAATGACGCGTGCTGAAGCGTCTTACGTTTCACGCATGCGCACTACAGTGTGAAAGCATTTGTAGCCGTTTCAGTGTGGATGACAAAGTTTTGGAAAACGAATAAAAACGACAGTGTGGACGTGATGCGCTTTTAGAGGAAAACTCCGTTTTCAAATTTATCTGGATTAGTGTAGACATGGCCTTAGAAAAGCTATCTTGTTCAGTTAATGTAAATATATATATATATATATATATATATATATATATATATATATATATATATATTATTTATATATATATATATATATATATATATATATATATATATATATATATATATATATATTATATATATTTATTTTTTTTATTAAATATAAACATTTTTAGAATCATTTTTGTCTCAGTTGCCAACTAATAAAATAGTTTTAAAAACAATACCATTTTTCATGCCTGTGAAATATGAACTATAATGTCTTTACATTTTACAGAATTTTACTTTACATAATTATACTTGGAATACGTAAGTGCCTTTAAACTTTAGGCAAAGGGGTCCCCTGCAGTGAATCATCCTATTTGGGGGTCCCTGAGATTAAAAAGTATGAAAACCCCTGATTTAACTAAATGTATTTTAATTACATTACAACATAACATGTAAAAAGAACCATATAAAATGAAAAAAAACTCACAATAACAGGTCACCGGAAGTTTATCAGTGTGGAGTATGACGTGATGTTTTTGTGATGAATAATGTGTCGTTTGTGTGTGTTATCTTCAGGTTGTCTGCCTGGCACGTTCGGCCAGGACTGTAATCAGGTGTGTCAGTGTTCAGAAAGAAACCAGCTCTGCCACCCGGTGACTGGAGTGTGTTACTGCGCGCCCGGATTCACTGGACTCAAGTGTGAACAGAGTGAGAGAAAACAACATCTGATGCTGATGCTCTTGGGTGTTTAAATGTCAGCTGTATTTTTCTACACAATCTCTAATGTTCAGATGCTGTTGTTTAAAGCCTTAAATGGAAAAAAAAAACTTTGATCGCTTACTGCGCTTCACACCAAGGTTATATGATATATAAATCAATATATATATATATATATATATATATATATATATATATATATATATATATATATATATATATATATATATATATATATATATATATATATATATATATATTAGCCCCTTTAAGCTATTTTTTGACTGCCTACAGAACAAACCATCGTTATACAATAAGTTGGCTTTAAATGTCTCTTTAAGCTGTATAGATGTGTCTTGAGAAATATCTAGTCAAATATTATTTACATGGGGGCAAAAATAAACATGGGGGCTAATAATTCTGACTTCAACTGTGTGTGTGTATATATATATATATATATATATATATATATATATATATATAAATATATATAAACTAACAATAAAAATGTTAGATTAAAATTATTACTAAAATTGTATGAATTGTAAACATGAAAAAGTTAAACAAATAACTAAGTGAAAACACACTTGAACACTTATTAAAATGTAATAAAACTATGGTGAAACAAAACACTTGCAAATAAATCTAAGATATTTAATATATTAAATTTGAATAAAACACTCAAATTATAACTTTACACAAAACTTAAAACTCTTAATAAACAGTTATAATATTGTGGCAAATGTCAAGTAAAATGAACTTTTACAAAAGTATATACAAAAAGTTTTTTTTTAATCATAATAATGTAAAAAGTAAATTAAAAGCCAAAGAAAGTTAGTAAGACAAATAAAATATATTCAAATCATACATTTGTAAGAATATAATTGCAATTAGAAACGTAAAAACAAAGTAGTACACTTTCTAAAACTGAAAAAAAATCAAAACATTGAACACCCCAAAACATTATTATTATTATTATTATTATTATTATTATTATTATAATTATTAAAATAGGCGACGCAGTGGCGCAGTGGGTAGCACGTTTGCCTCACAGCAAGAAGGTCGCTGGGTTGCTGGTTTGATCCTCGGCTCAGTTGGTGTTTCTGTGTGGAGTTTGCATGTTCTCCCTGCGTTCACGTAGGTTTCTTCCGGGTGCTCCGGTTTCCCCCACAGTCCAAAGACATGCGGTACAGGTGAATTGGTTAGGCTAAATTGTCTGTAGTGTATGTGTGTGTGTGTGTGTGTGTGTGTGTGCATGTTTCCCAGAGATGGGTTGCGGCTGGAAGGGCATCCGCTGCGTAAAAACTTGCTGGATAAGTTGGCGGTGCATTCCACTGTGGCGACCCTGGATTAATAAAGGGACTGAGCCGACAAGAAAATGAATGATTATTAAAATATGTCTACAGATAAAGCAATAAAAATATAAAACATTTTATCCACCTGCCTGCTGTATGCATGTGAACAGGTCAACATGTTGTATAAGTTAAAATATTTACATGTAAAGTCAATGTTCAAAGCTGTTCAGCTGAAAAATAGAGCAGTAATTATAACTCTGAGCTCAACTGTTGCGTCTGCATATGGAGATTTTTCAGCAGTGTTCTGTAAATGCATGTTTGTGATGTGTGTGTGTGTTTTTGTGTCAGCGTGTCCGCAGGGTTTGTACGGCTCAGGCTGTGAGCATCAGTGTGAGTGTCTGAATGGTGGAGTTTGTCTCTCAGACTCGGGATCCTGTCAGTGTCCAGCCGGATTCATTGGAGCTCAATGCAATCAAAGTGAGTTAAGCACTGGACACACACACACACACACACACACACACACACACACACACACACACACACACACACACACACACATACACACACACATACACACACACACACACACACATACTTCTGTGTGTGCAGCTTATGTGGTTTACAAGGGGAACACAAAGTTGAATAATGGCATGGCTATGACTTACTATAACTTTACTCTATTAAGGTGGTTTACTGGGTCACACCTCCTGTCCCTTTAATTCAAAACGTTTTAAAATCATACTTAAAGTCTTTTGATGTTTAGATTATGCCACAGGCTTCCATTGAGGGTTGTGTTTAGGGGTAGGGGTGGGGAAGAGCAATATAATAACAGTTTCTTACAGTATAAAATACATTACGTCTATGGAGTGTCCCTGTAAACCATGTATACATGTGTGAAGCGCACACACACACACACTGTATCAGCTCTTCCTCCTGTGTTCAGCATGTCCAGCGGGTCGCTATGGTCTGGACTGTGCTCATGTGTCAGCGTGTGGGACAGGAGTGAGGAATGATCCGGCTACAGGAAGATGCACTGCACATCAAGGTGAGCTGATGGTGCTTCTCTCTGCAACACCAAAACCCAACTCAGTGTTTGTGCTGCAAAACTCCTCTTACTATAAAACACATTTTACTGGACTGTCCTGCTTTTACTGATTCCAGAAGACTTTTTTTATGAAATGAACTCTTTTAAGGACATTTTTAACAAAATGAAACCAGAAAAGATATTAGATTTTTTTTTATCATGTATTAACACAAAAAATCTTGTTTAATTTATGTTTTATTTTGTTTGTTGATTTTTAGGGCACTATCATACACCCGGCGCAGTGTGGCGCAAGGCGTGACGCTGTAGTCTTTTGGTAGTTTCAGCTTGGCGCAAGAGTCGTTTTGAGGCGTTGCGCTACGCTGTTTAAATAGCAAATGCATTAGCGCTCATTTGTGCGCCCATAGGCGTTCTGGTCTAAAAAGGAAGCGCTCTGAGGCGGACCGCTGGCGCGTTGCTATTTTGAGAAACTATAATAGATTTTTCATTAGACCAAAACTAACCCGGTCTAAACTCCAGCGCAGAGTTGCGCCTCGCTTACACACTGCTTAATACACACAAGAGAGCAATAGGCAAATATCTTTACATATGAAAAAATGTAAATATTAATGATATATATAGGATATAATAAGAATAGATATAGAATATAAATATAAAGAATTAAAATATTACAAAACATTTTATTTTCTAGCCTACATAAATATGAAAAATCACTGCTTTTATGTCTTCTTCATCTCTGGGGGCTTTTTCAGTTTATTCATAACAATTTACTTTTGTATAATGTTATTATTATTAGCAGTATTATTTATTATATCCATATTTATATTTGTTTTATTAAAAACAAGCTTAGATTTGGCCACCTGTCAGGTTTTAGACTATATGGGGCATGGCAGGTGTATATGGAAATAACTCAGTATTTTGACCACACTTGGTTATTATTGTTCATTTATTCGTTTGCTGGAAATTAGAACTGAATTTAGAAATAGTTTTGAAACAAAATTTTGCGCTTAACAAACGAAATTATTTATTTATAGACTAATTGATGTCTGTGCGTAAAGGTTTCCCTATCCAAGAGTGAAAGTGAAAGTAGATCCATTATCTCTCATTCTCACGCAGTAGATGCTCTGTTTAACAGTTTTCTGTTAATAAAATGTTAACTGTTTGCTAGTGAAATGCTCATTTTTTCCATTAGACTTACTTTGCGTCCTGTAAATAGCGAATGTGCTCTTGGCGCGACGTAGCTGGCTCTTAAAGGGAATGGGAGATGAGACTCTAATTGGTTTATTCTCAAAACACACCTATAACTCACTAAGAAAATAAACTCAACCCTTTTATAACATGCGCCTTGGCGCAAAGCAGGTTTTCCCGACTGTAAATTAGCAAAAATGCGTTCTGACACGCCCTGAAAGCGTTTGCGCCCTGCGTTTTGCGCTCTGCGCATGGACCGTCAAAATAGAGCCCTTAAATTTTATGTTTATTGTTGAAAGATTCCTGCCATGAAAATAGCCTTGGTTGCTGACATGGCATTAAATAAAAAGCACATCACATTACTCTCTGCAACACCAGCAGGGAAACAAAAGTCTCAAAGCATGCCAAATGTGATCGTCAGCATGCACTGTTACACTGGGATGTTTTCTTGACCTAGTAAGAACTCTGGCTGAAGTAACTGAAGTTTATTAGTAGGGGCTGCTGGGCGAACAGAGCACAGAGCATTGCAGTAATCTAATCTAGAGGTCATAAATGCATAAGCTTTTCTGCATTTGAGATTTCCTAGCTTAGCGATATTTCTCAAATGAAAGAAGGCTGTTTTTATGATATGGGAACTATAATTTTAAAGCTTAACTAGCTGTCTAATATAACACTGAGGACAGTAGAACTAATACTTATATTGTTTCCCTCTGTTACATCTGTGTGTGTATAGTCTGTCCTCCAGGTTGGTTTGGTTCTGGCTGTTCTCAGCGTTGTGACTGCAGTAACAGAGGTGTGTGTGACGGAGTCTCTGGAAACTGCTCATGTGCTCTCGGCTGGACCGGCAAACACTGTGATAAAGGTGACATACAGAACTAATACATGTTTAGCACTCTCTACAGGTTATAACATCTTCATTTAATAAGAACTTGTTAGACTTTTGCTCTGATGATTGTAAACAACCGACTTGTAACGTAAAAAAAAACAAAAACAAAAGCAGTGTCTGAAAACACCATTCATTCATTCATTCATTTTCGGCTTAGTGCCTTTATTAATCCGGGGTTGGCACAGTGGAATGAACCGCCAACTTATCCAGCACATGTTTTATGCAACGGATGCCCTTCCAGCTGCAACCCATTTCTGGGTGTTTTAGAGATAACTTGATATAATTTGTGTGTGTGTGTGTGTGTGTGTGTGTGTGTGTGTGTGTTTATTAGAGTGTCCTGATGGCAGCTTTGGGCCTGACTGCTCTCTTCAGTGTTCCTGTCAGAATAACAGCACATGTGACCGAGTGACAGGAAGTTGTCATTGTCGTCCAGGATATTACGGTCATCTGTGTGAACACGGTGAGAAACATATGAATCATTTCAGAATTGTATGTACGTTTCAGGTATTTTCCATTAATTTTCTTGAAACTGGAAAGATTTATAGTAATATATAATCAGGGTGTCTGCAGGTTTCTACACTACCTGACATGGATCCCCGTTGTCAGAGTTAATAACTTAATAACTTGAGTTCTAGTTGATCATTTGGAAAAGTGGCAGAAGGTCGATTTCTCAGATGAATCATCAGTTGATCTGCATCCCAATCATCACCAATACTGCAGAAAACCTACTGGAACCAGCATGGAGCCAAGATTCTCACAGAAATCAGTTAAGCTTGTTGAAGGAAATGTCATGGTTTAGGGTTACATTCAGTATGGGGCATAGTGGATGTGCAGAGTGGATGATCAACATCAACAGCCTGAGGTATTAAGACATTTGTGCTGCCCGTTACGTTACAAACCACAGGGGAGGGCAAATTCTCCAGCAGGATAGCGCTCCTCATACTTCAGCCTCCACATCAAAGCTCCTGAAAGCAAAGAAGGTCAAGGTGCTCCAGGATTGGCCAGCCCAGTCACCAGACATGAACATTATTGAGCATGTCTGGGGTAAGATGAAGGAGGAGGCGTTGAAGACAAATCTAAAGAATCTTGATGAGCTCTGGGAGTCCTGCAGGAACGCTTTCTTCACCATTCCAGATGACTTTATTAATCAGTGATTTGAGGCATGTCAGAGATGTATGGATGCAGTCCTCCAAGCTCATGATGTAGTCAGACACAATATTCATTCTGTCTCCACTGCAGCAGGACTTTATATTCTATACTGGACATTATTTCTGTTCAGTGATGAGACTTTTGTCTGAGTAAAGTCAGACCTTACTGTCCTGATCAAATTATTAAAAATCAAGGCTTGATCATTTTATTTTGGTAAAATAAGCGTAATGTAGAGGCCTTCGCCTTTCATTTAAGCCACTTTTGATGCCAAATGTTCAACTAGAAGTTAAGCTATTATTTGATGATCCTAAAACTTGGACAGGCGACAAGACTTTTGACAGGTAGTGTTCTATCTAGGATTTTTTAAAAACTCACTGAATGAAATTTAAAACTTAATGTATATTATAATTTAATAGTACAGAATTTGCAAAGAAAGCACACAACATGACTAATGAATTACCATCCGAGTGTTTATTTTATGGGGTTCCGCCTATTTCGTTCTGGACAAATAGAAATAGATTTCAAAACGGAAACAAAATCTTCTTCATGAGGTCAGTTTCATTGCATTTGTAAGACTTTTGAAACAGATTTAAGACTTTTTAAGACGAATAAAGGTCTTCCTAATGGACTTTTTAAGGATCCACAGATACCCTGATAATTTACAGCACACTGAATCTCTTATTAATGTAAACTAATGATTGATTTTGTTACTAATTGTTGTTTAAGTTAATGTTAAACCTTTTAAACCATCACAGAGTTGACATTTTCCATCTTTTTGCGCTTTAGCTTAAGACGCTAACCTTAAACATGATAGCACACGACATGTTTAAAACTGAATGTCTCGTATTTTCATGATATTATTCATTCATTCATTCATTTATTTTCCTTTCCTGGTGTTGGGCTGCAGCTGGATGGGAATCCGCTGCATAAAACATCTGCTGGATAAGTTGGGATTCATTCCACTGTGGCGACCCAAGAGTAATAAAGAGACTAAGCTGAATGAAAATGAATAATTGAATTTATTTTCCTTCAGCTTAGTCCCTTATTTATCAGAGGTGGCCACAGCGGAATGAACCACCAACTATTCCAGCATATGTTTTACACAGTGAATGCCCTTCCAGCTGCAACCCAATACTAAAAAACACCCATACACTCTTACTTTCACTCTCTCTCACACACACTCACACACACACACACACATACACACACACACACACACACACACACACACACTCACTCAACAATTTAGTTTATCAATTCACCTGTACCACTTGTCTTTGGACTGTGGGAAAACGGGAGCACCTAGAGGAAACCCACGCGAACACAGGGAGAACATGCAAACTCCACACAGAAATGCCAACCAAACCAGACTCGAACCAGCAACCTTCTTGCTGTGACACCACAGTGCTAACCATTGAGCCACCATGATAACTTGATATAATTCGTTTTTCTTTTTTTTTTAAATTACAATTATTTTTGTTTTCAAAAATAATAAGACGGTTTAGCTTGGAAATAGAGAAGTACCCACAATTCCACAATCATGCATACACATGCTGAATGACTGTGATTTGTGTGTGTTTCAGCGTGTCCGGCTGGTCTCTTCGGCTCTGGGTGTCAGCAGCAGTGTGACTGTATGAACGGAGCCTCCTGTCATCCGGATACAGGACAGTGTGTGTGTCCCGCTGGAGTCCACGGCCCGCGCTGTCAGCACGGTCAGACCTACAGTATATACATCAGTCAACACACACTTGAATATGTGCTTTACAGGGACTCACCGCAGACGTACTGTAATGATTTTTCTACTACAGTAAACACACTGAATATTCTGTCCTCCAATCAAACACTGTCAAACAATATTCCTAAATTAGCAGTTTTCTGTATTTTCCCTGTTTATTTCTGCATTTGAGTTGCATTATGGGAGCTTACGAAACCCCGGAGGGGACGTAGTGGAGGAGAAAAAAATTGGCTGGGTGAAAATAAAATAATGGGTGATAGAAAAAAAATGGGTGGAAGGAAAATATATATTTCTAAGTTTTTGCGGTCCCTGGCAAAGATGTTATGCGTTATCTTGCAAAACTGTTTCTCCACAAACACTTCCTGTTCACTCACATGAACCCTTCCGTTTTTGCCGAAATTCTCCCGTATTTCACCATTCTATCCCACTTTCTTTACATTAATACTGTGCGTCGTTTGTCGACTTTCATATGCGACCTCTGAAGCAGTGAACGCATGTATAAGCGCTGACTGACAGACACGCTCCGTACAATAAACTGATCCTAGATCAGCGTCTGTACACGCCAAGTAAAGTGACACCTCTGTTATCAAACAAATGAGCAGCAAAAGAATCTCGTTTTGTTTTGTTTGATAACAGTCACTGTAAGAATCCACAGATCAATAATGAAGCAGTCCATTACTTTAGAAACTGTTTGTGCTCATTTAAGAGAAAAATTAGCTGTTTAAAATAAAACATGCAGGACGGAGATGTTAACATATTATTCAGTGTATGTGTCTGTTTAAACATACACCCGCTCCTCTGTGCTCCTCTTTAAATGGCGAGTACAGACAGTCAGCGATTATACATGCATTCACTCGTTTAGAGGTTGCATATGAAAGACGACGATCGACGCACAGTATTAATGTAAAGAAAGTGGGATAGAATGGTAAAACATGGGAGAATTTCGGCAAAAACGGGAGGGTTTACGTGAGTCATGTGAACAGGAAGTGTTTGTGGAGAAACAGTTTTGCGAGGGAACGCAAAACTTTGCGAGGGAATGCAAAACGTTTTTGCGAGGGAACGCAAAACTTCACGAGGGAACGCAAAACGTTTTTGCGAGGGAATGCAAAACTTCACGAGAGAATGCAAAACGTTTTTGCGAGGGAACGCAAAACTTCACGAGAGAATGCAAAACGTTTTTGCGAGGGAATGCAAAACTTCACGAGAGAATGCAAAACGTTTTTGCGAGGGAACGCAAAACTTCACGAGAGAATGCAAAACGTTTTTGCGAGGGAACGCAAAACTTCACGAGGGAACGCAAAACGTTTTTGCGAGGGAACGCAAAACTTCACGAGAGAATGCAAAACGTTTTTGCGAGGGAACGCAAAACTTCACGAGAGAATGCAAAACGTTTTTGCGAGGGAACGCAAAACTTCACGAGAGAATGCAAAACGTTTTTGCGAGGGAACGCAAAACTTCACGAGAGAATGCAAAACGTTTTTGCGAGGGAACGCAAAACTTCACGAGGGAACGCAAAACGTTTTTGCGAGATAACACAAAACTTCACAAGAGAATGCAAAACGTTTTTGCGAGGGAACGCAAAACTTCACGAGAGAATGCAAAACGTTTTTGCGAGGGAACGCAAAACTTCACGAGGGAACGCAAAACGTTTTTGCGAGGGAACGCAAAACTTCACGAGAGAATGCAAAACGTTTTTGCGAGGGAACGCAAAACTTCACGAGAGAATGCAAAACGTTTTTGCGAGGGAACGCAAAACTTCACGAGGGAACGAAAAACGTTTTTGCGAGGGAACGCAAAACTTCACGAGGGAACGCAAAACGTTTTTGCGAGATAACACAAAACTTCACGAGAGAATGCAAAACGTTTTTGCGAGGGAACGCAAAACTTCACGAGAGAATGCAAAACGTTTTTGCGAGGGAACGCAAAACTTCACGAGGGAACGCAAAACGTTTTTGCAAGAGAACGCAAAAACTTAGAAATATATATTTTCCTTCCACCCATTTTTTTCTTTCACCCATATTTTTTTTTTTTTACCCAGCCAATTTTTTTCTCCTCCACTACATCCCTTCCGGGGTTCCGTAGGAGCTTGATCTTTCTTCCGACAACTTTTACCAACTCACATGTCTTCCTCGACATTTCAACATTCCGAAAGCGGGAGACACGTCTCTATAGCGATCTCTTGCGACACAACCTCCTCAGTGCGGCGACTCTTATTTATTAGCGGAGTTAATCCTCCCCAAACCCGCTGTAATTCACTCCCTGTCTATAAACAATAATTCAGACACTTTTAAAATGAAAACGAGATGATATGAATTAACCCTGAAGGTGTGTGTTTGTCTCAGTGTGTGCTCAGGGCAGGTTTGGTGTGAACTGCTCTCAGTCATGTGACTGTGCTGATGGAGCGTCATGTGACCCGGTCAGCGGCCGCTGTGTTTGTCCATCAGGGAAGACTGGAGTGCGGTGTGACAGCGGTGAGTTCTGGAACGCCAATCCTGTGTTCACAAAAGGATTTATTCACACTCCAAGAGTTCTCGTAAACAGACATACATTTTTTTCATTTTATGAGCTGCCATGAGTTTTCACTTTAAAGCTGTGAAATCCAAATGTACGGTGTTTATTTAGCCAGTGCACATTCTGTAGGTGAGTGATTAATCGGTGCCAGTTCATGAACTGAAATTAGTTGACCAATCAAAGTCTGAGCATCTGCTTCTGTGTTCGGATTGGCTCCTTCTCAGATGATGTCAGTTTGATACACAATATTCCTAGCCACGCCCCTCTTGCGATGATGAGGGAATGATTTGCACAAAGAAAGCCCCGCCCCCTACTCAATATTCAGTTTCATTTGGAAGGTCATCAACATACTGAAATAAAGCCTCAACAACTTTAAGTTCACTCAGACTTTGAGATGATTTTTGAATTGGTGTGTGTGTGTGTGTGAATATGATTGGTTGTGTTGTGTGTTTCTCAGACTGCAGTGTGAACCGGTTTGGCCCTGACTGCTCTCTGCTGTGCGAGTGTGAAAATGGAGCTCAGTGCGACAGCAGAAATGGACGCTGCTTCTGTCTGAGCGGCTGGATCGGCTTCACATGTTCACAGAGTAAACACTGATCTTCACTCTCTTTATCTTTTTAATCATGTTCACAGAGTAAACAATCATCTCTTCATAATGTTGTAGAGCAGCAGTGATGGAAGAGCACTGAAAAATCATTCTCAAGCAAAAGTACCATTACTTACCCACAAATGTAGTGCGAGTTAAAGTATTTTCTGTGAAGATTGCTCAAAGTAGGAGTAAAAGACCTTTCAAAAGTAGTGAGTAGTAAGTATTACACTGTAAAAAGCTGACGCGTTTACATGTAACTTGTGGATGTGTGTAAACGTAACATTCTGTAGTGCATTTAGTTATTGCCCAGCAGGCACACAACATCATAAGACATTAATATTAGGTTAGATTTGGATCGTCAGATGACCAAAATTCAATGTCTAGGATACATCCCAGGACAACGTTATTTTGATGTTCAATAACGTCATCAAATGGCGTTGATATTTGATAAACCAACGTCATATTGACAACAAATACTGACATTTATTCATCAGGTATGCCAACCAAAATCCAACATCTGATAGACGTCATAGTGGTAGCGTCCACAAAACATCAAGCTGTGACATCATTAGACGTTGATATTTGGTTGATTTTAGGTTGTGTTAGAAAGTGACCAAAATCCAATATTGAGTCTAAATCTTAAACCAACGTCATATTGACAACTTCTGACATTTATTCATCAGGTATGACAATAAATAAATAAATCTAACATCTGTTAAACGTCATAGTGGTAACTTCCACTTAACGTCAAGCTGTAACATCATTAGACGTTGATATTTGGTTGATTTTAGGTTGTTAGAAACTGACCAAAATCCAACGATCTTAAACCAACGTCATATTGACGACAAATACTGACATTTATTTATCAGGTATGGCAACCAAAATCCAGCATTTGATAGGTGTTACAGCTTAACGTTGTGTGGACGTTGTCAATATGACATCACATTAAAACCAAGCACACCATTGTTTTTTTTCTTGTGAAATTCCCAATAAGTTTGACGGGTCACATGACCCTCTTCCTATTGAAAAAAAAAAAAAGAAGTTGCCACCATGGTCACCACCCATCTTAAAAAGTTTTCCCCCTCACATATACTGATGTGCCACAAACAGGGCGTTAATATCCCAAACCATTCCAATTTTACTAAGGTGTATCCATATAAATGGCCCACCCTGTAGATGGAAAACAAATAAGATTGGTCCCCCCCCCCTTTTTGCTGATCTGAAAAATGGTCTGATCTGTGACAAAAAAACATAGTGTGATCCAAACCATGACATTTGTGATCCATTAATCCACTATTAATAATATTATTATTATTATTATATATAATTTTTTGTTAAAAAAAGAAAAAATCTTTTTTTTTTTATGTCAACCCAACTAAAGGAAAATCATTTTCCAGAAAAAAAATATTACGAAACTCCCTCTCTCTCCCTCTAAATATAATTGATAACATTTATTTATTCATTCATTTTCTTGTCGGCTTAGTCCCTTTATCAATCCGGGGTCACCACAGCGGAATGAACCGCCAACTTATTCAGCAAGTTTCCCTTCTCTCATACACACTCATTGACACGGACAATTTACCCTACCCAATTCACCAGTACTGCATCTCATTGGACTGTGGGGGACACTGGAGCACCCGGAGGTAACCCATGTGAACGTGGGGAGAACATGCAAACTCCACACAGAAACGCCAACTGAGCCAGCTGAGGCTCAAACCAGCGATCTTCTTGCTGTGAGGCGACAGCACAACCTACTGCGCCACTGCGACGCCGAAAACATTTATATGATGCAGTAATGTATACAGTAATTGTAATCAGCTGTAACTGTGTTTGCAGGCGCTCCTCCAGAACTGAACTCCAGACGGTCAGAAGAGGATCAGCTTCAGCTCAACACTTCATAGCGTACACACACACACACACACACACACACACACACACACACACACAGAATAAATAATGTGTTGAAGTGTTTGCAGGTTCTGTCACACCCGCAGGAGCTCGCTGTGTTTTCTGTGCAGAAGAGAAAGCAAGAGTGCTGGAAAACAGAAATTACACACACACACACAGATGCACTTTATCCTCATTCAGGGTGTCAGTACGGTCACATTTACATTGAGCTGTAGTAAACGAGTGAGAGGCTCAGCATTTTTACCAAACACTTATTTGTTTGAGCTCTTCAACAGACTTTGATCAATGGTGTGTGGATCTTCAACTGTACATGAAGTGATTATTCCTGATATTGGTGCTACAGTGTGATGCTGTCTTTTATGATTATGTTCATTTTAGAAAACAGCAGGAATTGAACACATTAGCTTCTGACTCATGTGTTGTATAAAGTTTGAATTATTTATATATTTTGTAAAATATACAATTGTAAATGTCATGCAAACTCTTGAACCCAAGAAAGGATTTTACTCATATTAAAAGCAATGTGGATTTTTTTTAAACACATAAATGTGCACTATTTTGAATTCAGCAAGAGCTTTTGGTGTAGTATTTAGACCCAGTGGCCACACTTTTCAAAATAAAAGTCTCCCGTTGTGCCATTAACTGTTATTGGTTCACTTTAAAAACAATTAAAAGGGAAAAAAAAAAAGTTTCCTCAAGAATGTCAGATATTTTCTTAATGTTGTTCGTAAAGGCACAGATCACCCCAAAAATGAACATCCTTACTCTCAATGTGGCTCTAAACTTTTACAAGTTTCTTCTGCTGAACACAAAAGAAGATATTTTGAAGAATGTTGGAGTAATTGACAACCATAACTTGGGGGGGAAAAAAATACTGTAGCTGTTTTTTTTTCCTTCCAGCATTTTCAGTATATCTACCCCCAACAGAAAAAAACTCAAACATGTTTTGGAGGATGAGTAAAAGATGACAGAATGTTCATTTTTGAGTGAACTATCCCTTTAAGACATCGCTTAAGAACTTTATTTCATGAAGAGCATGTTCTTGAAAATCCTAAATAAGGATCTTGTGTTTTGCAACTTTACTAAGTGCATTTGTGAAGTTTTAGCTGAAAATACTTGTATGATGCTGTTAAAGGTTTTTTCCGCCTCTTTCCAGAAGAGGGCAGAGCCTTTACAGCCTGTGCCTTGGTTACTCCAGCAACAACCAACAAAACCCGAAAAACAAGCAAAATTCTGCTTTAACAAGAAACAGGAGTTACCTTGACATGATCATGATTTACTCGCAACTTAAAAAAGTTAATCAGAGCAGTTTAAAAGAAGCTGAAAGACTGAAATAGTTAAGGTTAGTGTTTTTTTGTATTCATTTTTATGATAAAATATGCTCCAACAATTGGTATTTACATCTTTCATAACTACATTCTTATTGTAACATCTGAAAATGCTTATTTTTATATATATATATATATATATATATATATATATATATATATATATATATATATATATATATATATATATATATATATATATATATATATATATATATATATATATATGTGTGTGTGTGAAAAATTTTCCTTTGGATTTTTTTGTTGATGTTTAAAAACGTGGACTATTAAAAAAAAATCTTAAATTTTTTTAATTATCTTAATTTTTTTTGTGGAAAAAGTTGTCAATGCTTAAAACCTGTAAAATACATTTTTAAAAAGTATGTAATTTTTTTTTTACATTTTAAAACATTTTAACATATTTTTAAAAAAAATGTTTTACTTTGGATTTTTTGTTAATGCTTAAAAACCTGTAAAATAAATATTTAAAAACAACACAAAAATGTTTTACTTTAACATTTTCTTTACTTCAGAATTTTTATTCGATGCTTAAAAACCTGTAATATAACAGGTTTTAAAACAACAATATAAAACAAATTTTTTACTTTTTAATGTTGTCAAAATATTTGAACATTTTTATCGATGCTTAAAAACTTTTTATTTTAACTTTAACGTTTTTAACTCAAAAAACGTTTACAATTTTTTGTTGCTTAAAATGTTGTACAATATATAAAAAGCAGATATTTTTACTTCAAAATTTATAATCAATAGTTTTTTTTTTTACTTAAGATTTTTTGTCGATGCCTGAAAAATTGTAACATAAAAAGAAATAATTTGTGTAACTTAAATTTGTGTCAAAAAACGTTTACTATAAATTTTGTTTGCTTAAATTTGTAAAATATATCAAACATTTTTTTTTTACTTTAAAATGTTATACTTTTTATTTACTTTTGAATTTTTAGTCAATGCTTAAAAATCTGAAAAATATATTAAAAACGACTTTTTAAAAAATAATTTTTCAAAAAATTAACAAAATTATCAATTGTCAAAAAATGTAAAACAATTTTGTATTGATGCTTAAAAACTTGTAAAATATATGAAAACTTTTTTACTTTAACCTTTTTTTCACAGATTGTTTTACTTCAGAATTATTGACAATGCTTTAAAACTTGTAGAATATTAAAACAATTTACTTTAGAATTTTCCCATTAAAAATACACTCTTTTCTTTTATATATTACACCATTTACTATTCTAATATTCTACAAGTTTTTAAGAATGGACAAAAAAATGAAATGTTTAAAATGTAATCCTATGCTGGTGATGTCATTGGAAAGAGTCTCATTGGTTTACCAGGAGAGGGCGTGGCTTATGATCAACACCGAGCGCTTGACTTTTCCACCCATTTGAACAGCAGCAGAAAACAGACACAACATGATTTTTTCATCGTCATCATTTTATATAGTCGTTTCATAGATACTGGCGCTGTACATGTCTAAATTCAGATTCAAGCACAATGCAGTCAGCAAATGCCTCTCGATGAAAATAAAAGAACCAAAGGCTGGAGTGATCAGGACCATGAATACTCTTATGTATATTTATGTACAAAGGTCAAACTATATACAGATATCCGACTCCACGTACAGTATTTCTCCACGAAGCGTGGAAATGTAGCTTGCCATTGTATACATTTCACAGAATTCTCCAAAAATGCATATTCAGTGCAAATAATTGCTCTTTGTAATCATCATCATCATCATCATCATCTTCAGGTCAATACCTCCGAAGGGCAACAAAGAATAGTAAAAAAATAAAATCAGATTTTTGTCTTTGTAAAATATTAAAGATGCAAAATAATTGCATGAACTAAAGTGTAGAATATCTGAAAATAAGACGCATCCGTCTCCTCTGAGCTGTAGATCAGCACGCTATTATCACACTTTTCCAAAATTAAAACGTTTGTCCGCCACTGATTCAACATCCTTCATCATTTACTCACCATCACACTGCTCCAAAATGAAGATTCATTCATCCACAGAAAACAAATGAAGATGTTTAACTGTCTTTAACTCTGAAAAGTGGACTGACAGTTTCAATTTACTAGAACTTCTATGTGAAGCTGCTTTGACACAATCTACATGATATAGTTTTGATATATTTATGGGAGGAAATGTACTAAATGTCTTCATGGAAGATGATTTTTACCAAATATTTGAAAGATTTTTGGCATTTAATAAATATGTACCATTTTAAATAAATAATTGACCAAGTTTAGTTGATTTTTGATGATTTAGAGTCCTTCATTTATCAGATATTTTATATAATGCTTAAGTTTGTGTGTATTATTTATATAAATTATCATGCAGAGCCCAAGTAAATCATGTTATAATTTTATTTCTAAGATTGTTGCCTCCATGATTTCAACAGAACAAATGCAGCGAATAATGCTGGTAATTTTCTGAAAGTCATTTAAGGGTGCAAAAATCAGGAAAATGTCCTGCAAAGAGTCGGGATTAAACAAGATGAACTTAAAAAGCAAGCGATTAGTCAATATTTTAAATTTCTCTCCGGAGAGGTCATGTTTTGATGTTTGATTAGTCTCACGCAGTCTTATGATGCGATTTTGCAAGACAGAGTTCACCAAACTTGAACTTTGTGACGCAGTGAAACTTGTCGCATGAGCTTGTGTTTTCTGGTCTGTTACAAATGGAAGTCTATCGGGCGAAAAGTCCAGTGTGACCGCGGCTTCAGGTGATAATGTGTATTTATATATAGCGCATTTATCATGTATGGCCATACACAAGTGCTTTACAATCATGAGGGGGGTCTCTCCACACCACCACCAGTGTGCAGCATCCACTTGGATGATGCGACGGCAGCCACAGGACAACAGCGCCAGTGCACTCACCACACACCAGCTATTGGTGGAGTGGAAACACAGTCATAGAGCCAATTTAGGTGATAGCGATGATTGGGAGGCCATGATGGGCAAGGGCCGATAGAGGGAATTTGGCCAGGACACCGGGGTTACACCCTTACTCTTTACGAGAAGTGCCATGGGATTTTTAATGACACAGAGAGTCAGGACCTTGGTTTAACGTCTCATCCGAAAGACGGCGCTCACTGACAGTGTAGTGTCCCCTTCACTATACTGGGGCATTAGGACTCACACAGACCACAGGTTGAGCGCCCCCTGCTGGCCTCACTAACACCACTTTCAACCTAGTTTCCCATGTGGTCTCTGTACACTCAACTTTTGCTGCTTGTTAAAACTACCTATTTAAAATGAGTTAAATGGAGACAAGTCTGATGTTTTTTGGGACAACTGAACTGTTTTATGTTCAATCCACTTTATTTTGTAAAATAATTATTAAGTTAACTTAATTTATGTTTTAATTTTTCATTGTTTACAGTGTTTATGTGAATAAAAGCCTGAAATCGGCTCATCATTAAGCATTTGTGTCTTGAAATAAGCAAAATTTTATTTTTCTATCTCTTCACGGGTGATTTGTAGTCAGAATTTGACTGATTTGATTGAAAAGTTAAATCTTCATTGTTGGACAACCTGCAGGTGAGTAAATGACGACGCATCTTTCACTTTTGGCTGAACAAACCACTTAAACTAGTATTTCTAAGGTCACTAATAAAAAAAACTAAATCGATGCCAGTTTTACAAATCCAGTCTCAAGTCTGTCAGTGATATTTCTCCTCATGATGAGCAGACGGCAAACAACATTAAGTGCTTTAAAAGCCGTCAACAAACAGGCTGATGTGGTACAACACCAAAAAACCCAAATCCTCACAGAAAGAGAAAGTAAAAGAGGACGAGTTCAGCTCTAGAGTCTAAAACACAGTGATGAATCTGCTGAATCAAACACATCAACACTCAACACATCATGTCTGAAACTAAACTAAGAACTGCCTTTACTCAACATCTACTGATCGCTACGTTTACTTCCACACACACTTTATTAATGGATGAGATTCACTTTTGATGAAGTTCAATGTTCTTTTTTTGGTGAGGATATACAAAACAAAAAATAAAGGAATGTTTCAGGGTTGATGCAACTAAAAGCTCGGAAAAGACGGAATCAAAAACATTCGTTACAAGGATAGGCATGAATTTGCTATGAAAATCTGAGGAAAACAATATCAATGTACAGTGTTTGTGAAGTGCAACCATAAGATTGCAAATATCAATGTGATTAAAAATGATTTTGAAAACAAACATTAGGCTATAACCACCATATTTGTATAATGTTTTTTTTTTATTTACGTTGATGAATAGAAAAAATGTGACCCTAGAGTGAATAAAAATTATTAATGAATTATAAATGAATTATTATTAATGTATTTCTAATGTAAAATATTTAGACTTAAAATTTTAAATGCTTATATATATATATAAGCATTATATATTCACACACAGTAAAAAAAAAAAAAACTCAGCTGGGGGGCCGAAAAAAAAAAAGAGCAAAATAACAGCCGTTAAATTACAGAAATTTACCGTAAAATAACACATTCAATAACTAAAATTTACCGTAACATAACAACCTTTATATTACAGAAATTTACCGTAAAATAAAAGATGTTACATTACATAAATTTACCATAAAATATCAGACGTTAAATGACCGAAATTTACCATACAATAAAATATGGTAAATTACAGAAATTTACCGTAAAATAACAGACGTTAAATTACAGAAATTTACAGTAAAATAACAGACATTAAATTACAAAAATTTACCGTAACATAACAACCATTATATTACAGAAATTTACCGTAAAATAACACATTCAATTACTAAAATTTACCATAACATAACAACCGTTAAATTACAGAAATTTGCATGAAATAACAGACGTTAAATGACCGAAATTTACCATAAAATAAAATATGGTAAATGACAGAAATTTACCGTAAAATAACAGAAGTTAAATTACAGAAATGTACCAGAAATTAAAATTTAAGAAAAATTCTGTAATTTAATTTTCATTATTTTATGGTAAATTTCTGTATTTTAAAAGATGTTTTCTGTTATTAAAAATCCGGCAGGACCTGGGGCAGC